TCTTGTTCGTAATTTTGATTAGTAGCATCATCAGCATTACGAGGAAATTTATAGATTCTCTTTTTTCATATGCACTTTAGATAAATTTAATAAGAACATGTTTATCTCGGAATTTGCGCAGGGTAAGTGATCTCCACAAATATTCTCATAAATATTATGTATCATCACTCTGACGCACACAAAAACTCACACACTCACGCACACAAAGACACACAAACATACACACACAAACACACGCGCGCGCACACACACACATACATATATATATATATATATATATATATATATATATATATATATATATATAACAGGATGAAGAGATGATAATAGAATATAAAGAATAGAGAATAGTGGTCCGTATAGTATAGAGGATAGTAGAAATAGCGATCCGAATAGAAATAGAATAGAACTGCGATCAATCTAGATGTCACACTACTTCATATATATATATATATATATATATATATATATATATATATATATATATATATATATATATCGTCTATGGTCACGTGATGTTATTTCAATAATGGGATAGCCTGTGTTTATTCACTGGAGATCTATGTTTAAACTCAATGCTCTTTTATTTCGATATAACAAAAGATAATTAACAATTATAGAGACTGCTTGAGTAATGGTAATTTAAATAAATCTCGCAAAACCTGTCATTGAATATAGGTTCATTCCAAATATTTGTTTCCTTAAAATGATGATAAGTTTGGGTGATAAGGAATTTCGAATTTTGTGGATTCAATTGTAATGGCGAATACTAACAAATTGTTCTTAAACCATACAGCATACATGACAAGTGATGGAAAACATGTTTGATAAGATATAAGTAAATGTCATATTTCGCTAGATTCATCATACATTTGTCCCTGCTGTTTTCCACAATCGTTGGATGACATATCTAACCACCAGTATATCGGGACATATAATAATAACTCACCCACCTCCACGCTCTGAATTCATTTTTCTATTTAGCGTAGATCTGACGTTTTATTGATTAATCTAGACATACAGACAATTGTATTATTTTATTCTTAACTTATGACCGCTCATTGATTTCCGAAATGAGGTGACAATCTGTTTATAAATTTCCCTAATAAAACTTTTATTTTATCCCCAGTTAACAACCATTGCGTGAGGAAGTACAAAAATTGTATTGAAACATGAAAGTTTTTGTGTAACGATGTAACTTTTTTTATTATAATCTCTTATAATAAAATATTATAATATATATATATATATATATATATATATATATATATATATATATATATAAAATTGTGTATATTTAGGCAGCAATTTTTCATTGATGCATGTTTCATGAAATAATATAGACAAAACTTCACTTTTATCAAATTCATGTTTATATTTAATACAACTGTACATTCTGACTACAGTAAATGCATATATAATTTGGTCAACGGCATAGCAAGAGCCAGTAGTTCATACGCTAATTTTATCTGTCGTTTATGAAATGACATCCTTAAAATAAGTTTGAAAATTGGGTCTTCAAATGCTGCATGTTACGCGAGTATATATATATATATATATATATATATATAGAGAGAGAGAGAGAGAGAGAGAGAGTGAGAGAGAGTGAGAGAGAGAGAGAGTATGCGGTCAACACCGAGTGGCGATGTTATGTTCCATATTCAATCGTAATATTCGCCACATGATGACTGCTTTCAACCCTAAAAGAAAGTGTCGATTTTCCTTGTTAACCCCATTGCTCACTTTTATATTTGCATACGCGCGACCCCATATATTGAGCCCTGTTATGCATAAATATTGCACACATTAAAACTATATGTTTATCATATTATCTGAATACCTTGACAATATATTTCAAAATTGAAACACACGCACAGACACTTATACACATGCATAAACACATACACATATATGTGTGTGTCTTTCTATTTTAAAATCGATATTTTTAATCCGACATTATTTCTTAATAATATAAAGATTGTTTTTAGTGGGCACACGTATTTGAGAAGACCCCCACTATGACCCCCTCTGTTTTATTCTCTCATTTCTTCAACAGTGAAATTAATGAAACATCTCGCTTGAGACAGTTTGACATTAATATTATACTTTTAAGAAAATAAGCCATAAAAGGGTGTCAACTAAAATGATATACACACTAAATACCACATTTGCGGTTATAACAAATATAAAGAACTGTTATAATAAATTTTCAAGACCTTGCAATGTAAAATCTCATTTTGTTCTAGTCATGCAAATATTTCAAACCATACGAAAGTTTTTCAACAGATAAAATATCGAACAACGAAATTAATCTACAAGTTACCAAACAAATAGAACATATCAGTTAGTTGCAAGAATAATGCATTGAACATTAAAAGAAAAGACATCGAATTTGAGTTGCTTTGGGGGAGGAAGTCTTTAATCCATACTGAGGTACTAGAGGTATGCTGATGCTAATATGCATAGAATTATTGGCCTACTGTACGCTGCAGTTCCTAGACTAAGCACAATTTGGCACTCGTGAAACGGATACATATCCAGATTTAACCTCACGGTTGATTTTTTTAGAGCTTTCAATAATTTCGCAAAATTAAAATAGAGGCATTGTAATAGGTTTAAAATCATTTTTAAGAAAATTATTCTCAGGGCAAATAAGTTAAGCAATATTTCACAAAAGAAAGAAATGCACAGGAAGCAGTTTCCACCAAAACAATTAACACAGGTGTCACAATAATACCCGTTACCTATTTTTACAATTCGAAACATGTTTCGCCTTGGAAGGATGTATTATATCAAGTTCATGAAAAAGCTTATACTTAAAAACATCGCCTGAGATATTAGTTTCTAAATCAAGGAAATCAACCTGGAAACATTATTGATCATCTCCATCGTTCTTTATTTCATGGATTCACGTCCTGAAAGGATCCATCAAATATGTCTCCATTATTTAGGTTACATTCATTATTAATGAAATTAATTGCAAACCTATATCTTCTGTCATTTTCTTTATGGGGTTTTGTGAATCTAGTCATATGATTGGATTCAAATGTATAGAGATTAAACCAGAATTGTGCTAAATTTCAATACACATCGGATACAAGGATTAAATGACATTATTAAATGGGTGGATGCGCAGATGGTGTAAGGGATAAAGATTCGAAATGAAAAATTGAAGAGTCAATGTCGAATTCACATTAGTTACGTTATAGTCTTTTAGGCGCAAATATAATTCGGAAAGGTATAAACATGTTAGTAATCTGATCTGTTAGATTAGTTATTATCCGTCTACATTTCTGAGATGAGGTATTATGTACACTATGTACATTGTTCGGACTATCATTCTCATCTTTGTTGCCATATTTATCACAACGTTTTCAGGTGGATGTAATGCCGAACTGAACACTTTATTTCACTCACTGGGGTAAACTGTTCTAGTTCCACATCTAATGGATGCCAGTTATCAGTTATCTCATTTTAATTCCCCTCTCCAATTTCTCCACTGCACTAACCAGGTATTGAACTCATACTCTTTGAGTTCTGTCACTCGATCTAACTAAAGCTTTTATCCATTGCACCATGTATCCTTGAGGACATCTGTGTATGAATTTCTGGGGCTTATAAACCTTATATCTTCAACAACCATTTTTGCCAGTGCTCATATTGCAATTTTTGCTGTTAACACTGCATGTATTTTGCCAGAGCTCATATTGCAATTTTCTTTGTTATTAGACATGGTACGTGGAACAAGAACAGTATACCCCAGCGAGCGAAATAAAGGGTTCAGTTCGACATTCCAACCACCTGAAGAAGGCCGGTGCGTACAACGGCCGAATCGCTGTGATAAATATGGCAACAAAGAGGAGGATGATAGTCCGAACAATTTCACTAGTATAGATTAGTCATGTTTCTTTTTACTACCACAATTAGATACCGCAGAAACAGTGAGGTATATTTTATTGCATAGATTTCATTTCTTTGTTGAAATACAACATTAAAATTATCACCAAGATTAACTGTCAGAACATCACCAGGCAGTTTACTATAGAGCTTCAAACTTCTATTTTTATTATCTTATTATTTTTGTAATTACTGGAGAATAATTTTCTGTTGATCAAAGTCGATTGTAAACGTTATAAAATCTGTTCTTTAAATAGATATTTTTATTTGATTAAAGTTATGATTGTAAATCAGTAATTCCATTTTACTGAGAGGTTTTATGTTCCGATAGATTGATGTTGCTATAAACTTAGCTTTTGGAGGCGAATTGGGTCGTGCATTATGTTAGGTTTTCTTTAGTTTGAATTATAGCGAAACAAACTATTATTGGTAATAATGTCGGTTAGATGTACATCAATTAATTTATACGTCGATGATTTATCAGCCAGAGATACAAGCGAGTGATGAAATGATTTCCTCATTAGTAGTTGAAAGATTTGTACCACTGGGTATTTGTTTTCATTGATTTAAAAACATTTATTCTTGTAATTCATACCCAAGATTTCGCTCTTTCAAAACATGTTTTTAAAGCATGAACGTATTTAAATACATTTACTGAAAACTTTAAAAATGTTCAGGATTTTAACCTGGTCTGATCATTTCTGACGGAATGATAAAAGCCCATGTTTTCCACTGAAAAGTTTTATGCAAGGAAATATTTTACGCCAGTGTGTTTACTGACCTCAATGAAATGACTGGTATGTTTGTAAGTAAATGTTTGATGGATGCTGAAGAAAAGAGCGATAGAATGTCAAGAGGAAGGGGGCTCTATTTTCCGGTGTTTAGCGATTGCATTCGTGTGACAATTTGTTATAACGTCTATGTGATAAGAGGGAGATATTTATTCTTAAATAGAACATAGAATAACGGCGTTTAGAAAGAAATTCGGAAAATGAAACCAAAAAAAAAGAATGGTACAATTTGAAAACTTCCACAATGAGATGCATTACTTGAGAGTTTGGAGCCAGAAGCTATAGGCTAAAATGCAAAATGGTAAGATTGAATCAGCGTGAAAAGAATGAAGAGGAAAATGTGTTGCCAATAACAATAAAAGAAAGAAAAAAAAGGAAAGGAAAACAAATCAAACTGTAATTTATGAATACATGCAGACACATGAGATGGAAAACAAAGAATGAAGAAAAAGAAGAGAAAAGAGAGAAGATAAAAAAAAACTGAGAAGAATTAAAAAAAAGAGGATGGTCGGATTTGAAAGGGAAAATAATGGTCAGTTTAAAAGAGAGAAATAAAATATATGATGGAAAAAGGAAGAAGGAGAAGAAGAAGTTAACGTAGAAAAACGAAGGAAGGAAAAAAGAAAGGATGAAGACGAGGAAGAAGAAGAGGAAGAAGGGGTAGAAGAAGAAGAAGTAGAAAAAGGAAGAAAGCGAGAAAGGAAGGAAGGAAGGAAGGAAGGATGAAGACGAGGAAGAAGAAGAGGAAGAAGGGGTAGAAGAAGAAGAAGTAGAAAAAGGAAGAAAGCGAGAAAGGAAGGAAGGAAGGAAGGATGAAGACGAGGAAGAAGAAGAGGAAGAAGGAAAAGAATGAAGAAAGGAAGGTAGTAATAAATATGCAGAATAGAGTATAAAACTATGAAAAAATAAAAAATATGAATTAGAAAATGAGAGAATGAATATTGAGAGAATTTAATAATACAATAAAGAAAACTAGAACATTAATCGATCACATTATAATCAGAAAAGAAAGAAGAAAATGTTACTGAAGATAAAAACGGAAAAGAAAACGAGAAAGGTAGACGAGAAATTAAAGTAAAACGAAAAAGACAACAATGAAAAATAAAAGAAAGAAAGTAAAAAATGAAAGGCAAAAAAAAGAAAAAAACAATTGTGGGCAAAGCTGAAATAAATCCTTTAGTAAAAATGTAAGACATGGACGTAATGTAAGAAAAGGAATGATAAAACGAAGATGAAGGGAAATAAATTCAATGGCAGCAGTCAAGGGACGGAAGAACCAATTTACAAGTTCACGATTTTTGTTTCTCGAAAAATAACGTTTGCATATTCAGATGTTTTGAACGGGTATCATGTCCAGCAGTTTCCCGTTTTTTCCTGTATCCATTTAACTCTACGGCCACTGCAATGGAATGAAACTTCCTTCATGCAATTTTACTTCTAGCCTAAATCATTTTTCTTGGATACAACTCATGTTTCTTTGTCTTAATTTTCCCGATTGCAAATATTCATGAGTTTATATTTTTCCGGATTGCTTCCTAGGAATATTTGCTTTCTTTATTTCAAGGTGAAATTTTCAGTGTCCTCTTCTAGTGTAACGGAATCAACGTTTTTTTATTGATTTAGCAGATGTAAGGAATTAGACCCTACGAAATGTAAACGTTAGGCGCGTGAAAATCTTTCTAGCGAAAACCCGATGTTTACCTCTTTAATTCACCGCTTATAGGTGCATAACTTCTGTTTCATTACGAGAATTACGTTTGTCGCTAGTAAATATAAAGCAATCTTACACACACTCTCGTGAAATAAAGACATTCTTCTATGTGATGAACGCAATCCAAGAGGTTGTTTTGGTAAATATTTAATCTCTTTTGCTGTCTCAAATAAAAATGGTTCACATGAGAAAAGATGAAGAATAATCGAAGCCTTAATAATAAAAAAAAAGAAAAGAAAAAGCCGATACTCGATGATATTAAATAAGAATACGAACACGATGCACTGCCTGGGTTCGGAAAAGAAAACGTCCTTATTATTATAAATATATACACATAACCCATACATACATTTAAAAAGTAAAAATGAAATCATCCTTCATAATGACTAAATGTATAGTCAAAATTGCCCGTAATTACAGAACATTTGGACAGTTCAAAATCATTCTGTGCCCAGAAAAGAATACATTTTTTCGAACATGAAAAATAAAATAAAAAGCGTAGTAGCAGTACGTATTTTGCCGTCTTTAATGACACATGTAGAAAACAGTGTTTGCTGCCTAAATACACTATATATATATATATATATATATATATATACAGTTTATGAAAATCTAGGTAAACCGAATGGGTAAACCTTAGGAGGATAAAATCTAGAGAGTTCAATGTAAATTCAGAGCAAATAATTTAAATAAAGACAGACCATTTTAAGGTTCCATGTAATAAATTATTTCACCACAGCCTTTTTAAAAGGACTGCGGATCATCAGACTTTACTTACAAACAAAAAAATGAAAAGAAATTTACACATTTATGACGGGCCGTATTAAACATATGTAAATTAACGAAGTGAGGAAGTGAGGTGGGAGAGAGAAGACATGAGTGAGTTAGCAGATATGGACACATTTAAACGGTTAACTTAACGGAAGTTATATATTGATATCGAAGGGGTAGAGAAGAAAAAAACCCATAGAGAGAAAAAGATGGAAGAAAGTTAAGAGAGATGTCACTAATTTTCTTTGTAAAAAAAACCTAGAAACAGACGCTGCTATTTTTCTTTACTTTGAAAGTGTTATTTTGGGGGTTCATAAAGATTATAATGTTTGGTATAAATTTGAATGTCTCTAGACTGTCTACAAATAATTTAATTTGATGTTTGTTAGTGATTTAAATTTTTTAAAAATTTCGGGGATTTTCTATGAAATAGTCGATTAGAAAAATATTCATAAAACGTACATTAAAAGAATTAAATTTTATTTTAAAATATAAGTTTATAGTAATCTTTTTCTTAATCTGTTTAAAAAAAAATTATTATTGATTATTAAGTCGACATCTCTATCCGTTTGAATATTGTTTTTGAATTTAACTCGTGACTGTTTCTAGATAGGTAATCTTTTTACTTAAATTTTAGTTAAGTTAATATGGGGTAATATTTGAAGGTAATATTAAAGATCTTGCTCTGTCATATACTGTATACACATCCATGCAAATATCACATATACACACATTCCTTTACATATTCAAACACTCATACAGGTACCCATGTACCGAAATACACAGGTACTATAAGTATTAACATCTACCTAAATATCAAAAAATATTCTAATTCATATGTTTTATCATCAATAATGATTATTAAAGGGTAATATATTTCAATTTGAATTAAATTATCATTTTAAATAAGAATTTTAAACTCACACTTCCAATTGGAGAATATTAAATGAGAAAATGAGATAAAATACTAATAACAGGACTGTAAGTCCTTCTTTTATAATATACTATGTATCCATAAATATACATCTACACACATATCCGTACACATACACACATACATATACATACATATCCATATATATATATATATATATATATATTCACAAATAAACACACACACATACACATATATATATATACTCATACATACATACATACACATGTAGATATACACACACGCATACATACATACACATTTACATATACACACATATATACTCACAAATATACACACATATATACATATATATATAGATATACATATACACATATATACACATATGCACACATATACACATACACACAACTATATATATATATATATATATATATATATATATATATATATATATATATATACACCCATTTGCGTGCATGCAAAAAACATATCAAAGTCCATACTTAATTACCTTATTATATCTATAGTTTATCATATTATATATATGAACTCACAACTACTTATATTTATACATACATACACTATCTATGGAACTACATACATCTACAAATCTATATATATATATATACACACACCCACACTCACACATACATATATAGAAATTATAAAAAATTGTATACATACACATTCACACATATACATGTACCCACATACTCACACATACACATATATACACCCATATATACATATAACTATATATATATATATATATATATATATATATATATTAAAAAACTCTCACCTATATACATACAAGTATATATATACATACCCATAACCATACCTATCCACTCCAAAAATGTGCCCACAATACGCAAAAAAACACATGCATGACTATCTTTCCATATAAACGCATATACATATACATATCAAAAGACATATCAATGTTCAAGTTCAGTTACATAGTTACATACATACAGTTATGTGTTCGCACTTATGTGTGCATAGCAACATTTCCAAAAACAAAAAACCAAGATCATATAATATTAGTCTTCCTATATAGCTATTCCTAAATATATTTAGTTAGATTTAGGTTGTTCTTATGTCGGCATTTAAAAATTAGTTCTTATCCGGATCTTTTTGTTTTATTATCAGGTTTTTTTTCTTTTAAACATAAGTCGCATCTGTCTCTGAAGTTTATTGGAGTTCTGGCTCTCGATATTATCTTCCATTTTATTTGTGGGGTTAAGCCATCATCCAACAACTCCCAATGATGCTTTGACAGTGCCGTTTGGTTCATTTTACACTTATCTTTGAAGGACTGGCGATGGTTATAAAGTCGATGTTCCCGACTGCCAATATATATATATATATATATATATATATATATATATATATATATATATATAAATTCCCAAGATAGAATCCATGTAGAAAACAAATGTCCAACGCAGAGTAAGAATATAATATGAGAGGCTACACTCATATTCCATGGTTATAATTTATTACATTGGAATCGTAATCACGATCCAAATCATCAGACCTACAAATTCAAAATGACCTCTCGCTCTCTCTCTCTGTCTCTCTCTGTCTCTCTCTCTCTCTCTCTCTATATATATATATATATATATATATATATATATATATAATTTTATCTTATAGACAAAATCATTTCACTCATTACAAAGATGCATCTTCGTTTCAGTGCATTTAAACTGTACTTCGACGGGTGAGAATCGAAAATGGTTATGAAGAATCCTGCTTGTAGGCAAGCTGTATGTGAAACGTCACTTCCTTTTTCCCTTTGTTTGAGAAGAAAAAATACAAATATATCAAATAAAAGGAGACGGAGTGAAACAATAGTGCTTGTTGATAGCAGTTTGATGAAGAATGGAATGTGTGTTTAATGTTGACTGGTTTGTGGAGATTTTTTCTTGCTGATAAACACCGGTCGAAAGTTTAGGCCCATCATCTCACAAGCGTCCTAAGAGTTACAGGTAGAGGATGAGAGGTAGAAAGAGGGGATAGTAATACGTTGGAGTATTGCGATAGTTTTAGTAGTAATTAGGAATGTTATTTTTAGTCTACTATAAAATGTCTAGAAGTGAATTGCATATATTTATCACTTCTAATTCTGTAATTGTTTAAAGTGTTTTGTGGATTATAATTTAGAAGCGGATATTTCCTCTAATAAAATATGGGATACCAATATAAACTTTTATAATCAAATTTTGAAATATTCCTATATAGTATAGCGTGTAGAATAAGTATGGGTGTTAAACGATGTATCTGAAAATATTGCCAGTAATATATATGAAAAAAAAATTAAGAATCATAATTTATTTAATTGGGATGTAGATAAGAGGGTAGGGGATATATTAAAGGAGGTGATTTATAATTTTAAACCGTTTATAGTTAAGGAATTAAGAATTTAAGAATATTGTAGTGTCATATCATAACTATGTCTACAGAAAACGGTGGTTTCATATCTTTGATTTAATAATTGGATATTATTCAAGAGTTCGATGATACATATTTTCTCCTGTAAACATAAGAAACAAGGTTCGTTCATATAATTGCAGAGTCTGGCTTGTCTTAGGATTTTCCATTTAACCTTAAGTGTTTTTCCTTCTTCCTTGTGTTTCCAAAAATATTTCGAAAGTGATGAAATATTACGTTTGGCTGCATTTGTTAAAAGGTCTGCCAGTTGACCCCCATACAGCTTAATATCTCTGGGGTTCTCATTTGATGAGTTATAGTACATATACACTATGTATTTGGTTAAGCACTTGTTTAATAATGGACATTGATCGGGG